GCTGGGGTCATACTCCGTCGATTGGCTGCCGCAGGTGGACGGTGCACACGTGAGAACCAGGCTAGTTTTGGACCTGGTCGAGGTTGTATCGACCACATCTTCATCCTTCGCCAAATTCTTGGACAGACGCTCCTTTGGTAGACCTACCGTTTCTACTTCTTCGATCTGAAAGTGGTCACTCGAATGCTTCAAACTCCGGTGCCGTCTGTGTCTGACGGGTGTATCCGAGAAGTTAATTTCAACTCTGAAATCTCTTCATACTAACAACCGAAGCCGAGTCTGAGCTTACGGCCGAGTGCGCCAAGGAAAGCGATTTTCGTCTGGGTTACCCTCTTTCCGTCTTTTTAACTTTGTTATCTGTTTGATTGTGTAAACAGCCCCACCCTCGTACGAGGATAGCGGTATCGATTTACTCCCAGATGGCAGACTGTCTGATTTGGACTATGCGGACGACCTTGTACTGCCAAGTGAAGATCCAAGTAAGTTTCAAGCTTTTGTAGATATCTTTCAAATGGGAATTCGTCGTGTATATAGCAAATGAAGCGTGAACTGAAAAGCTAGAAACCACTGGACAGCTGTTTCGATTTGGTTGGGTTTCATCAGCAGTGCTAATCCATCGATCCACCCGGGACTTCATGGGCAGAACGCAAGCATGCTACCCACTACGCCACCGGGCAGCTGATCAGACCGTTTTTCTTTTTTCTATTTACACGATATAGCACAACCCATCTTTGCGAGCTTGTTGCAGACCACATACCCTGCTCATCTCAGCACTAGCTTCCAGGGTTATGACTCGGTTGGGAATATTCACAACCTGACTACTTTTCTTGATAGTTTGAGTGTCAACGTAGCGATGTTCTGTATGCGTTTGCACCTTCGAAGTGTAAAATGTTACTGGACGATTGGGCTAGTTAGCCCGCATTCTCACTCTAACTGAGGAAGTAGACAAATTTTTCCTTTCAAACAGCTGTATCTCACCCGGTGGACGCATCACGGAGGAACTTTCAGCTGGCATACAGAAAGTTCGATTGGCATTTGCAACCTTCTGGGGTTCCGCGGCGACATTCGATTGTCTGTGAAGGGTCGAGTGTATTCTGCGGCAGTTCGGCCAGTTATGCTTTACAGCGCAAAAAATTAGCCCATATAAAAGAAAGATAAAGTTAGACCGTCGGTGGTCAAACATCACTTTCTACACAAGATCGCACAAATCTTTTAGGGCAACCGGGCAAGCACAGAGTTTTAGATAGCCACGGTCGCTCATTGGAACAAGAGTCCGGACTCCATAGATTACATGGGTTCGGGCATGTGTTACGCATGTCAGCAAATATGTTGCCTCGGCGTATCATGTTTTCCGCTGCAGGTAGAAGATGGAAACTATCAAAGGCGGTCAGACCAAGACCTGGCATAAGGGCACGAAAACCCAAACCAGGGGACTCGGTCTTATAGGTCCTGTTGGGTTCCCTGGATGAGCACCTCTGGATGATCGGTGTTTAGAGACACTGAGTGATATGGCCGAGTGTAGTAATGACGTTCGTGCATCTTCTCAATTTCCTTGCAACCTTAGTCTACTGAAATTCTCCATTTTGTTTTACACTCTTCTTTCGACTTTCGTATCTTTCGACTACTGTGCAGCTCGCTGTTAGGTAGAAAGACTACTTTTACCTAAAACAGCCTATTTTCGAGTATTTTCAATTCGGAGCATCTCTAATCAATACTAATCTCGCGGAGATTAATCAATGTTATTGCGGTATACGGAAATCATTCACTCCGTCCGTCTGATCCGTGACCTATGACCGATTGAACTTTGCTAACTGTGTACTTGATTGACACAATCTTTTTCTTGTATTATTCGATTCTATTTCGGGTCACATATAAGCATCAGAGTAAAGGCACACCAATGTGGGCAGTACTTGCGGTGCTAAAACCAAGCAATCATGTAAAACCAACGGACCAGGTTGCGTAGTTTGATGTTTACTTCTCGTTGAGGTAAAAGTGGTGCAAACTATCAACCACGGGGGTCTATTCCAGTTTATTCAAAATGATTACCAACACTTGGATTCATTTTTATTGCAGACGAGAGAGGAGTGATCTATAATCTGTTCATGATTGCTGTTTGGCGAGTGATTTGAAGGGGAAAGCTATAGTCACTATCGAATTCCTATCAAGCGACCACTGAATATGATGGTATGGCCGGATCAGAAGTGCTGACGCTATAGTGTAAAACACTTGATATCAGCGCGTCTACCATGTGCATGGCATGCACAATACAATAGTCAATCCGTCGTTTTCATAAAGAAATTTTATTTGATCCGTAACTACGTGGATAGTCTTGATCAGCGCTTACTTACTCACTTCTTACTTCATATTCCACAGTCACTATTCAGCTATTGTGCCTTGCAGGGTTAAAAAAAATAGCCAAATGCTTACGTTCCCAAAAAATGATAAAATTCTAGGGAAACCTATCCCTGGTAGAATTCCAAATACTGTATCGTCGGATATATATATTGAACCAGCCCATCCAACAGTTCATGACCACATTCACACTTGTTTGTGACCGTCGCATTATCGATCCAACCTGTCATGACTCACGTGTCCATACGATTGATCGAGGTCGATTAACGTGGGTTTAGTTCCGTCCCGTCTATAAAGCTCATTCGATCAACGCTCAATGGCATACGGTTTCCCGAGTGGGGTGCGGGAAGTGGACGGACGAACCGTCGGACTCTAACCGTTCAAACTTTCATCCTCACTCGGTAAATTATTCAAGAAGTGCTTTTGTTTACGGCGAACTCAGTTCACTCCTACTGGGCGGTTTTCAGGCATACCCTGCCCACTCGGTGACGTTTGACGGCCGAAGTACCGGTAGTTGGACTCACTTGAAGTCTTTCGGGTTAATTATAGGTGCCGAGCGAAGATCATAATATGTAAGCACATCCTTTTCCCTTGTGTCGATGTTGATGGAAAGCGTCAAGTGTTATGCACTTGATGGATTTTGCCTACAAGAACAGCGAGGGGGACAGGGCTAGTCCCACTGTTTCTGTTGGTTTGATGACGCCGCTTTTATAGTCAAGTATTACTTATATGTGGGTAGCCTTGTGTTCACATTGATCAACTGCTTCCCACTTGATCAATCGTTTCATCCACTTCATTGAGCACACAAAAAGCCGACAAAAGTAGTTTAATAGAGGTGAATTTAGGGCTTATTTCTGTATAAACTGTGCTACTGAGGTTTGTTAAAACAAACACCATGGATGACGACGAGGTTAGTGTTAATTTTGATCGTATATTGCCCTGACCCAGTAGAGTTTGTAAAGCTAGAGATTACTAGATTTCTAAGACGCTGATGATTGAAAAGAGCGTACGTACACCGAGCGGATCAATTACGCTTCAGATGCCCTAGCACGTTTTATCGAAAAAATGTTGTGATAGAAATAGACTAACGCTATTTGAGATGCTCTAGGCTACGGAAATGGCCAGAAAAACTAATGATATTCATCGGTCAGCAGCTTGCTTGTGAAGCTTACAGAAAGACTCATTCATTAAAGCCTCTGTATGCGCCCTTTTCATTGCGTAATGATCCTCGATAGGTCGGTCTAGATAGCAAAGCATTCCAACTTCAGTCACGCAAAACAGCTGTGAACATAAAAACGCGAAGAAACGAGCTCGTTAGGAATCTGATGACAGAATTGTGTTTACGGTCTATAGGGTGTACAGCGGTTCTAGCGATGAATCCATAACACAAGTAGACCATAGTTGAGGATCCAGGCTCAATCGTACACATGGCCATTGTTGTTATTGAATTTGTTCCAACAGCTGCACTCAAGAAAAGCAGTGTTATTGGAAACAGTCGAAATTAAGTACTCATAAGTAGATTCAGTGATAAGCGCACCTCGAGTGATCCAGGCACTACTCGCGCGCATTAGAATAACGGAAGCTCACGCCACCACTTGAGCACATCTACTCGCACAAACACACAACATTCGATATCGTCAACTGACTACTGACGTTTCTGATAATGCTGTTGGTGAGTATCAAACACTGACACAATATTTCAGAAGGTGCATCGTTTTTCCGATAAACTCCGAGCTGAACTGGGTTTTGATACAGTCGGATTCAAAAATTGTCGGAACACCGCTAGTTTATTTATTTCCTTTGAGTTGTTTCTTCTCAATCTTCCGGTTAGTTAATTTACATTGGAATTTTTAAAAGAGGGCATCTGGAATCGGAACACAAAATGTTATCATGTATTGCCAGCAGGTGAAGCACGTCACCGAAAGGTCGCACAAGCACTTTAAAGCTGTCTCATCCTTGTTAGTAATTGAATGCAGTGCGTATTCCCTGAGTTATTCTCACCTTTTATTATTATCTGAGATGGCTCTCGCGGTTGGTTTCGTATTCATGTTGATTCAGCTCTTCGTTACAATAGTGTGGTTACCGCAATTAGCACGCGCAAAGGAGACTTCATTTAAGTACGCCGCATCTGTGCCCCAATCTCGCACCTTATCAACGAATCAAGAAAAAACCGCACTAAGCTTTAACACCAGTTCTTTCCCCCGAAACGAGGATACTGTGACACACATGCTTTTTCCGTTATCCGCGGTTTCGGTCTTCGAAAACGGAATCGATTCCGTTACGCTTGCTTCCTTCTCTTACTCCATTCTTCCGCAATATATTTCTCGACTGCAGAGTTTACCCTTTGTTCGGCAATCAAGTTGGATAGCGTTGTGAATGTGGAAATAAAGTGCAATCACAAAGTAAGGTGGAAATTTATCTCTCGTTGCCTTTGAATAGGTCTGCGGAGCCGTAACTGAAACCCTGAGTTATCTAACATGGTTCCGTATCTGTGTACGTATTCAATCATAAATTGCAAAACTGTAATATCAGGTGCTTTCGAGCACTTCAGTAAGGGGATTTTACGTATTACATCTTTTATTGTTCCATTATAAACATTACAGATGGAAGGAAACACGGTATTTTGTGCCAATCAAAAGGAGCAAATCATGGGCACTCCGTTGTTTTGTGACGCATATGATGCTCAAGCCAAAGCCTACTGTAAACGTTTAAAAGTTGTGTGTGAACACTTCAAAGAACCTAAACTTCCTCCAGACACGGTGTGCGGTTTTCCTTTCGTACGTGATGTTTTCGTCGAAACCGGAGATTTTTGTTGTGTTCCCAGATCCCGTTGTAATCGACACTTTGGTTGGGAACGCTTGCGTCGTGCACAAATCGACCTAGAACGATATCGTCATGTGAGTTCTCTTATCGGTAACAATGATTTCTTTTCGTGTTTTCGAGTTCGGAATTCGCCCATTTCCATATGGAAGCCATAATGCCTTTGTCTGCTAGTGTTAGATCTAATCAGTTCTGGATAGAACAAATGCTTTTTGAATACGTACTTCCTGGCTTGATTTTGCCATGACGTTATGCAGTTTCTTGTTGCTGTTTGCCGTTGATCCATAATATACATCTGGCAACAACCGAATTCCAGATTGTTTATTTCTGTTTGAGATTCCTCCAGTGATCACCGCAATTACTGTTTGATCAAAACGACCAAATACCAATACTGATACGGTTGATTTTTTCTGTAGTTGACAACTTGCGATGCGTGATTCAAGATGCAAGAGTTAATTCACTTTGATCTGCGCAGTTTAACTGGGGATTTCATACTTACTGTTGTGTCCGAATCCCGATTGACCACAATGTACACAACAAGATATCACACGAAGCTACACAAGGAACACACGTACCTCAACGGCCGCACCATTGCCGAGTCCAAGGGCCTCTTCGAACACATCAGCAAAATGTGTGGCAAGGTGGCGTGACATTTCGGTGCTCTCCGAAACGGACAATATGGAGTTGCACACAGAATTGATGGGCACGTCCAGTAGCCCCAATGGTTCCAGCCAATCAATGCCGATTAGGTTGAGGTGGGTTTGTGTCACAAAGTAGTCCCCAACGATAGATCTGTCATTGAAAGTGACGGTACAGGTTACTCTACCGAGCAGCTTCAGGTATCCACCGCAGGCACTGGTGGCGGTTTCAGTTGTCGGATGGAGAGTAGGACGACCCAAAGACTGCCATAGACGACGAGAGATGATGGTTATGTCGGACGCCGTGTCGATTTGGAGGCGGACCGGATGGTTGTTGACGTGCACAGACACAAATCGACGATGGGAGGCTGCGTCTACTTTGAACGTGGCAAATAGGCTGCTAGTGCGGTTGCGCGATGGACGACGACGTCGCGGCTTGGACGATGAACGCGGACTCGATCAGCGGCTTGTTTGAGGTGGGCAGAAACCTTCTTTGTGACACTGTTGGCACCGATGTTGACGGAATGGGCAGAATCTGTGAAACTGCCAGGAGCCACAAAAGTGACACGGTGTGGGTGGTTTGCGTTTGTTGTCGGCGCTGGAGTGGCGGGATTTCGGAGAATCCGGGGACTTGCTGAAAGATACCGTATGTACATTTCTGGCAGTGCGCTCGGAATCCTGGACGAGGGCAGAGTCTTGTTTGAGGTTCAGAATTCTCTGGCACTCGGCGGTCAACGTTCGCAGGTTGGCGTTTGGATCCTGTTCGATGGTGTTCAGGAGCCGGGTTCTGATT